GGCAGTGACCATGAGGAATGCTGTCTTCTGGGACTGTGTAGATCTTGTGTGAACCAAAGTTTCAGAGAAACTTATCGCCTCTGTCTTCTGGGTAGAAAAATCCGTGAGCAAGGAACCAGCATGAGCAGGTGGCTGCAACCACATTCCAGGAGACAGCATTTTTCAGAGTTCTTACTTATTCCAAATAGAATTAATGAGGTTTTGAATCTCAGACTGTGATGTTTCACCTCCTGTTTGAATCAGTTCTGCCGGAGTTTGATTACTACCTGGTGATTTATGCCTCTTCAACTTCAAAATAGCAATTTCAGCCTCAAAAGATGTAGGATAAGGTACCAACAGCTCAGCTGTATGTATATCTGTCTGCCTAACATCACTGACCATATGTACATATATTCAATAACTGAAAGAAGAAATTCTTCCACCTATTCAAAATGTTGTGGCAATCTGCAAGCAGATCACCATTCTGATCCTTCACTAAGTTACTTCTAGGGTGGTAACCCTTCTTAAAATCATTTATTCCCCTATACCGGTCTCGAATGTTCTTGTTCTTACTGTTCACTGCAAGCTCATCAGATATTCCCTCTTTTTGTTCCTGAAATGCCTGCTGGTTTCACATCTTATATTGTTCAGATTATCCCCATTTATTTCACTTGGATCTTGTAACCACTGCAGTTCGGCTTGTTTCCTTTGATCTTATAATTTTGGGCATTCTTCATCAAACCATGGCTTTATGCTTCTTCAGTTCATGATAACCTGGACTGTCATTGGCTGAACTTTTATATCCTGTCTAATAGTTTCTCAAGCTCTCTTAATATCCACCTCAGTGTCTAAGTTTTCCAAAGCTGTGAACCTGTTTGAGATGTCAACATGATACTGCTCTTTACCCTCTACGTCACATAATTTCTTGAGATTGAACCTCTCTATATGAACTCTGTGCGTTCTTTGTTTACACACTGCCAGTCTTTCCCTAACCTTTGCCACCACCAGGCAGTGATCAGTATCACAATCTGCTGCCCTGAATGATCGGACATCAAGTATACTTGAATGCCATCTCATGTCTATCAAAGTATGGTCAGTTTGGTTGTCACCACAGCATGGCACATGGAGGAGATAGTGAGATTGTCTCTAGATATGGAGAGTAGCTGCAAATATATTGAATAAGCAGTCACGGACTGCCAACAAGGGGTGGTCCTCCAGCTTGTGGGTTAGTCGTGGGGCTAAGAACTCCTCACCGTAAAAAATAAGCTTGTTACAAAATGTCACAAAGGGCCTGGGACCTGGATGGATTCTTTGGATAAATGATCTAAGCTAAAGAAAGTGGACATGGAAGCGAAGAAGTTTCTATAGGGCAGGTTTGATCAGGACAGTGGCAGAAGAAGTGTCAAAATGTAAGTTAGATTTAGCCGGAGCACAGGAGGTCAGATTGGACAAGTGGCACTGAACCAGCAGGCAAATATACATTTTTCTATGGATGGGGGAATTAGAATCATGAATTAGGTACAGGTTTTTTCATACATATGAGAATGATATCAGCAGTTAAGAGGTTATAGTTTTTTAGTGATATGATATCTTACATAATACTAAGAGGTTGCTGGTGTGATATCATTGTTCTGAATGTTCATGTTCCAACAGAGGATAAAACTGATGATGTGAAGGGCAGATTCTATGAAAAATTACTATGTGTGTTAAGTCAGTTCCCCAAATACCATATGAAAATTTTTATGAGATTTCAATGCCAGTGTAAGTAGGGAAGACATTTTCAAACCAACAGTTGGGAATGAGAGTTTATGTGAAATTAATAATGATAATGGAGTTAGAGTAATAAACTTTGCCACATCCAAAAATCTTATTGTTAAAAGTACAGTGTTCCCAGATCATAACATTCATGAAACTTCACTTATGACCTTAAACAGAAATATGAACAATATTTATGACCTTAAGGAGCATTTGGCTGTTCATAATTTCTGAAATCTGCTTAGTGCAGAACATTATATCAGCTGTTGACCCATTATTTTCAGAACCCACAGTAGGAATCAGTAGTCAGTTTCCTGCCAGTCTACTTGTAGGAGAGACAGTAGGTTTTATTCTTTTATAGACATTTTCACAGATATTCCTTTTAGTGAATTTTTGCTTTCATTGATACATTTTTAAGTTCTGCTGAAGTTTGTTATAGTGACGTTCCTCTGTACATTTACATTAAAAACATATCATTTCTTACATTTAGTTATGCTGCTAATTTTTTTGTTTTGACAATTGCAGTTCGAATTGTCTACTGAAAATGACTTTGCCATTCTTATTCTGCAGGTACTGAGGGTGAACACAAAGTACAATGTTATCTGGGTGAAAGGACAAGGAATTCCTGGAGAGACAAACTCGTTTGTTTACATATATGACACTCGTCTTCCACTGAGGTCAGTATTTAATCTACATTATTGTAGAGTGAAGTTGCTTATAATTTTATTTGTCTCTCAATCAGAATCAGGAACAGGAATCAATAAAAAAAATCTGAAATGTCAGCCACTAATTTCCTATGTCGATTTTACTGCATGGCTGTGATGTTTGTACGGTACACAACCTCTGCTATAGTATCTATGTAAAGTAAAGTGTAACACTTTAACTCTGAATGATTACTTACACATAATCACATTGGTGGTGCACATGCCATTATTAAGTAGGACTTTCCAATAAATTCTGTAATTTATGCAAGATGAGTTGTGGTGTTGCAATACACAGTAAGTCAGCTTCCCATTGCACTGTTTTGTTATTCGAACTGTCATACAGTTTGTTATAAGTATTTATAGGAAAAAATGTGTTATTGTGTCTCAGGTTTCTTACAGTCAAGGTATTAATTGTTCCTCTTCCTGCCAGGTATTGTTCAGGAACTCAGCCACTTTAGAACTGTCACCTGTCATGCAGATAGATTATTTTGTATGTGTCAGACTGATTTGAAGTAATTGTTTACTCTTCAGTTACTTCTATAAGGTTTGTACCAAAATATTAATTGTCACTGAAGTTATAAACAATTTTGACCTTTTCATCACAATAATGAGAATTTCAGTGAGTAAGAGTAAGGTATCAGTGACGATTTCTGCCCCTAAAATAAGGGGTTAATGTTGAATTTTACCCATGTTTTCTTTTGAACCCCTAGACATCAGACAAGAAGAGAGCTTATGGGATTATACAGAAGAATGGAGGATGTCAATGGATAATGAGTGAGACACAAGATGGTAGCCACAGAGTGCAGCAGAACATTTCAGAATGCACCAAACTTAAATGCATTTGCTGTTACTAATTTAAATAGCAAAGTAGTAATTGTAACTTGAAGGCCCTGGGACTTGTGGTAGACTGCATTCACGTTTGCTCCCTGATAATATGTGCTAGGATGATAATGTTAGCATAAGTAATGAATCATACTTCATGATGCAAAAATTGTAGTGTGTTTCTCTAATTACTGTTATAGGAAACCAAAAGAAGCACCTCATTTTCCAACTTATTATCCAGAGGATGAGGAACCATTAGTAGAAGAGCTATATTCTGAGAATTTGCATCCCTTCACTGCTCCATCAATTACATATGAAGAAAATGCATAATGCTGTAGCACCTGTGTAACTACATTGTATTATGTATCATTCTGTCATTGAACAAAATTCCATGTCTGTCAAGATCTGTATATTTCATCATTGTATCCTCAGCAGCAAGTAGGATGTGTAGGGCATCTGAAAGTTTGAGACTGTGCAGGATGTATGTTCAGTATAATAAAGATTATTTAATATCACTGTAACTACCACTTTATTTTTATTTTCTTCATAAACTTATCTGTTTTTAGAGTATTAATAGTAGTAACATTGTATGTGTGTCGATGTGTCTTATGTCATGATTTTTACAGAGGTATGGTAGACAATTTTTGAACAATTCATTTTCAAATTTTGCATGGATTGGACAGTTTTTAAAAGTGTTTTAATTTGAGTCTTGACCTATGAGCTTCCACAATTATAATTTTCTCTCATTTGAAAGTACAGGAATCCTCTCCCCGATTGTTCCCTTGTCATATAACAGTAGGGTTTGAGCCAAAATAAGGAATTTAGTTATTTTTACTGATTAACATTGTGGTTGCAGAATCATGATCTGCTTACAGATTCCCACAACATTTTGAATGGGTGTTAGTACCTGATCTTATTCCTTTGGTGTTGAAATTGCTATTTCGAAGTTTATGATGTATGAATCACAAAGTAGTAATCAAATTTTGGCAGAACAGATTCAAGCAGGAGGTGAAACATTATAGTCTGATATCCAAGAACTCCTAAGTAAGAATTCCCTGATCAGTGGAAGGAGTCTATTATTGTACCAGTTCACAAGAAGGGTGATAAAACTGACTAGTAATTATCATGGGGGTATTATTACTATTAACTTCATACAAAATTTTATCCAATAACCTTCTCTCAAGGTTAAGTCCATATATAGATGAATTACTGGAGATCATCGGTGTAAGTTTTGATGAAGCAGATCAGCTACTGAAGAAAAATGGGAGTACAATGTGACAGTGCATCAGCTGTTCATAGACTTCAAGAAAGCCTATGATTCAGTTAGGAGGGAAGTATTGTACAATATTCTCATAGAGTTTGGGGTACCCATGAAACTAGTTAGGCTGAATAAAATATGTTTAAATGAAACATATTGTCACATGTTGGGTGTATAATGTGACAAGTAACTTCACGCCATATTGGATATAGCGAATTTATTGCACATTCGCTCTTACAGTCACACAATTTTCAGTTTCCCAATTACTGCCATCTGCACTATCACAAATTATCACATAAAATCTTCTAACCACATGTTTGGTTCTTCTTCTCGCGACTGCTGCTGTATTGTAACTGACTCCTTAAGGAGTGTGGTTCTCTTATAAACCCTCAGCCAGACAACGGGAAAACGCCGCTCTTCCTTGTTGCTTAGTCGCCATGTTTACAGGTGTTGCTGGGCAACGCTGTCGAGAATTGTTTACTGCTGCATAGCAACCGCGGTATCCCCCACTACATCACCATGATGGAGGGGGGCAGAGTGTTGACTGGCCCATTACCGTAGTAGCAACAGCACCCGATGTTGTTACGTCACCGCTGGCGGGGGAGGGGATGTCCTCCATAGCGCAGTATGTCACAATATAGTAAAGTTCTTACAGGTAAACATTTGTCTGATAATTTTCCTATCCAGAATAGTCTAAAACATGGAGACGCTTTATTGCCATTGCTTTTAAACTTTCCTTTAGAATATGTCATTAGGAAGGTCCGGAAAAACCAGGTGGAACTGAAATTAAATGGGACACAACAGCTGCTGGCCTATGCTGATTATGTGAATCTACTTGGTGATGACATAGATACCATAAAGAAAAATATAAAAAAGAAACAAACTCCGTGACCTTAGTCCGCAAGCGAACTATACCGACTGAGCAACCGCTGCTTGTTGGCGAAGTTAGTGCCAACTTTAGCAGATAGAGAGGGTGTCGTATGGTCATCGCAACAAATCCCCTCAGCCATTAATTTCGGTTTTCTAGACCAGAGCTGCTACTTTTCCATTCAGGTAGCTCCTCAATTAACCTCACAAGGCTGAGTGGATCCCGTTTCAGATGCACTTCTCAGAAAATCTGGTAGCGCCGGGAATTGAACCTGGGCCTTCTGCATCTGTAGCCAGGAACTCTGACCACTAGACCACAGTTGGTCTGAAGAAAAATGCACAAACTTTAATTGACGCTAGTAAGGAGGCTGCTGTAGAAGTAAACATAGAGAAAACTAAGTATATGTACTGCCTTAAAGGGGGGGGTTAAAGAAAAGATTCTAAATTACTAATTGATGACTGCCGCCCGCGTGGCAGGCGAACATTGTATCACTATCCCACCACGGTCACCAATTGTACTACCGTGGTGACGGGGGTGGTTAAACAATACTAATTCACTCATCAACCATCCCTTCGTTGGCTACTCCCTCCTCTGGCACTACTTTGTAATGGCGTAGAGCGGGCGCGAGGGTTCTGCCCTGTCTCTACCCACTACCTGTCACGCCCCCAAGACTGGGGTGTTATTTGATTACCCTCAACTAGGATTCTCCTGGCTCTGAACCTTCTTCATTGCATACAGCTGCTGTTGACTGCCTGGGGTCAGTTCTGCCTTCGTCGGGACTAGGATAGCTCCGGATCGGTCGGGGCACGGTTCCGTTCATGGCGGTAAATCTCAACTCTGGGTACATCCTATCCTAATAACACTGGTCTATTTACACTTCAATTTACAGTAATACGAATGCCAACATTCCGTCGGGGCTACATAGTATCTGTCCCTTAACTCATTTTTCACTTTCCTTCAGAGCTCCCACCTAGGGAGTATGACTTGAAGCTGTCACTTTCCTCTATTTCCGACCCTAATGACACTGGTCTGGTTACACTTTGATTTACACCCTNGTCTACATAGTATCGGCCGGTTACCTAGTTCTCACTTTTATTCTGATCTCCCACCTAGGGAGTATGGTTTGAGACTGTCACTTACCTTCATTTTCTACCCTCTTGGCGTAGTCTCTACCCCAGCCTGTCCAAAATCGCAGGGCAGATTGCACTGTCACCATTTCACCAACAACAATAAAGTTTAAGTAACATGGCTAGTATGAGCAAACTGACTTACTTGAGATGGAGACGCAGGCGAACACTGCCACTTGTAGCATCCATGCCGAACAGAGCCTTCTTCAGCTGCTTGTCTAATGTTACGTTTTTTTGATCGATCCTCCCAAGTCTTTCCTTCGGACCTTTATACCCCATAACAGCTGGCGCAGCAGCTGACAAAAGAGGGAAGTTAACTCCTCCCTTTGTCCTAAATTTGTGGGTGGTGGGTTCCCATTGGCCAACCCCTTTTGTCGCGGACAAATCCACAGCGTCTTGTCACTGTGTATTTGATAATTTAATTTGCTCCAGTGGCCTAATAAGGCGAGCTTTATGCTTGTGCAATTACGTACCGATGCCAACTAAGAACATGCTTGATCTAGTCACACAGTCTGTGTGTTGCCATCCTTACCCTGATTGTTGTGAAAACTCTTAGCAATTGTTTTAACATTTGGGGCAGTGCCTCAAATTCCCCTTTTTGAAATCTGTGACATAACAGTATATGTTTCTGTTTTGTCACCCAAATGCAGACCAAAATCATGACATAAAGATAGGTAACAGATGTTTTGAAAATGTGGCACAATTCATATATTTGGGAATGACAATAACAAATCAAAATTTTATTCAATATGAAATTAAGAGAAGAGTGAATTTGGCTAATGCTCGCTACCATTCAGTCCAGAGCCATTTGTCTTTTCATCTGCGGTCTAAGAACGTAAAAATTAGAACATGCAAAACCATTGTATGGGTGTAAAACTTTGTTTCTGACATTATGGGAGAAACACAGACTAAGAGTTTTTGAGAACGGTGCTGAAAATATTTGGAACCTTTGGGTTCCAAAAAATATTAGGAAATTCTTGAGAAACTTCGCAGCTAGTGGCATATCGAGAAGGGCTCAGCTCCATGGAGTTTGTTGGTTAGTTGTTGCAAAATATGAAAATGTTATGTTTCATCTACCGTTTGGTATGATGTAATATTTTTAACTTTATTGTACCGGAAGAGGAGATTTNGGTTGCAAAATATGAAAGTTCAATATCACTAATACTAAATCCTGTACTTTTTTTTATTTGGTAAAATTGAAAATGTTATGTTTCATCTACCGTTTGGTATGATGTAATATTTTTAACTTTATTGTACCAGAAGAGGAGATTTAAGTGCCCATTAGTGCGGGACTGGAATGGTATTACTGTTTATGAAATGTTCATATCTTTATAACTATTCCTATGGAATATTCTACTGAAAAGTATTTCATAGAAAGTACTTTGTCAAATCCTGCAATGTGTTTCTTTATTGATTATATAAATACCATAAAGAGAAATACACAAACTTTAATTGACACTAGTAAGAAGGTTGGCCTAGAAGTAAACACAAAGAAAACTAAATATATGTTGCTATCCTGTAACCAAAATGCAGGGCAAAACATGACATAAAGATAGGTAACAAATGTTTTGAAAATGTGGCACAATTCAGATATTTGGGAACTAGTATAACAAATCAAAACCTGATTCAGGAGGAAATTAAGAGGAGACTGAACTCAGGTAATGCTTGCTACCATTCAATCCAGAACCTTTTGTCTTCTCATCTGCTGTCTAAAAACATAACAATTAGAATATACAAAACAATAAGTTTGTCTGTGGTTCTGTATGGGTGTGAAACCTGGTCTCTAACTTTAAGGGAGGAACATAGACTTGGGGTGTTTAAGAACAGGGTGTTGAGAATATTTGGACCGAGGAGTGGTGAAGTGACAGGAAGTTGAAGAAAACTGCATAATGAGGAGCTTCATAACTTGTAATATTTTCCAAGTATAATTAGAATGATGAAGTCAAGGAGTATGAGATGGGCAGGACATGTAGCATGAATGGGGGCGAGGAGGAATGCATATAGGATATTGGTGGGAAAGCTGGAAGGAAACAGACCACTGGGAAGACCAAGGCATAGGTGGGTGGACAATATTAAAATGGATCTTAGAGGGATAGGATGGGATGGTATGAATTGGATTGATCTAGCTTAAGATAGGGACCAGTGGATGCTCTTGTTAACACGGTAATGAACCTTTGGGTTCCATAAAACTTGAGTAGCTGAACAATTGGCAGTTTCTGAAGAAGGGCTCAGCTCTGTGAGTGAGTGATTAATGACTAACAGTACTTCTCTTCATAGTCAGTTTTTTTCTAACTTCTGGACAGTCATTTCTCAGCATCTGTGTCACTTTTCTACATTTGAATCAGTTCCCATTTGCCAGATAATTTGTTGCCTTTGATATGCTTTGCACATTTCTTCTAGTCTATAAATATTTAACGTTTTGCAAATGCCTGTGGATATTTCATCAGTTTTACTGACAAATTACTCCTTATTCTCTGTAATAGATTTCTATCTTTTGCCTCTTTTGGCAAAGAAACAAAATACTTCTCGTCTAAACACTACTATTGCAAAAGAATCTCATTTGAAATACTATTACAATTCTTATGAGTGATGCCTCCCATCTGTTATCTCTGCTACTTAAAATAAGAGAAATATTGTAAGTTCTTCAGCAGCTGCACAATTGGCAGATTCTCAAGAATGGCTCAGATCCATGAGCGAGTGATTCTTTATTGATGTAGAAAGTGGTTCCCCCCCCCCAAAAAAGGCCTGTAGATTCCTGAATTGAAACGATACTGTATATTCTGTATATAAATCCAAATGTACTGCACTTGTGTTTCTGGAAATGTGATGCACTCTAATTTACAAGTTTACCTTTGTATTGTAATTATGAAAACACACATCTATGCATAGGCTGATGTTATACTGAGTGTTCATTGTGCAGGCTTATTAGACATCCAGGGAGTGTCTCAGAACATTGTATCGGCAAACTGAAGGTCATTCATTCAGTGATCACCTGATCAGTGAGTCAGTAAAGGTTACACCATCAAGTGTTATAGAAGCTTCTTTCCATTGTGCTCTGTTCTGTGTCTTTATGGCTCATGTGAGATACAATTTAGGTCAAAGAGTTTTCATTTGAGATTGCTATTTGGGGGGAGGGAAATCTTACAAATCATACAGGAGAAAATTTTGCCCTATCCCTGACATGACATGTCCATCTGGAGAGACAGTTTCCAAATTAGTGAAGAAAGTTCGAACCAGCGGCATTTTAATTGACAGAAACCGTTAAAAAGAAATCGTGTTTTAACTGAGGAAAACTTGATGACCTCAGTCATCAATTAGAAAATTCTCCTTGAAAATCTTTGCGGTGATTAGCACAACAACGTGGTGCTTCTCTAGGTAGTGCATAGAAAGCAACTGAAGTGTTGTATATTCATCCATATAAAATTACTGTTGTTCCTGAAATTAAACCTGTGAATTATGAAAAAGAATGACATTTAGTAATTGGTTTATCAATGAAGTGCATGACAGACTTATTGATCCTAAGCTGACATTTTTCACAAATGAGGCTAATTTTAATCTCTCAGGATATGTTAACTCACAAAACAACAGGTGTTGGAGTAGTGAAAATCCTCATGCCCTAATTCAACCTCCACTTTACGAACAAAAGATAGGTGTATGATGTGCAATTAGCACAAACCATATCATTGGACTGATATTTTATGGAGGAACTCTTGATACTCAATGATACATTAATGAAATACTCAATCCATTTTTCGTTCATTTGGCACCCGCTGAAGAAAGATTTGGTTATTATGCAAGACGGCATGACTCCACGCATAGCTAAGGAAATTATCCGAGCATTATGCAATGTGGGGAGTTGTAATAAATCCTTCACTATTCACAGGTATCTTCCCTCACCATCTTAAGATTTCAATAGTAAAACTATTGTACACAAAAGTGATAATAAGATAAATTATAAGTCATTTCACTATTAACTACATGTTCAGAAGTACAAGGTGGTATCAGTAAGTTCGTGGACTGTTGTAACTGCCCCAGTGAAAGATGAGAGGGGAGGCTAAGTCCCCACTTCAGAAAGCCAGTTTCATCAGCCTGCCAAGTGACACTGCACTGGAACATGCATAGTTTTTACACGAGTNCCAATTTCACTATTAACTACATGTTCAGAACTGTTCAGGACTGTTGTAACTGCCCCAGTGAAAGATGAGAGGGGAGGCCAAGTCCCCACTTCAAAAAGCCTGTTTCATCAGTCTGCCAAGTGACACTGCACTGGAACATGCATAGTTTTTACACGAGTGCATGTCGACTTCATGTTTTGTTTTGTCTGCAATGGATCACAATCGAGCAATGTGTGTGCATCAAGTTTTGCGTGAAGCTCAGTAAATCCACTACTGAAACCACTGAAATATTTTGAGGCTTTTGAAGAACATTCTTTAAGCCAGACAGTGGTTTTTGATTGGCATTCACATTTCAAGGTCGGTCGAGTGTCAGTTGAAGATGATGAACATTCATGTTGACCAAGCACCAGCAAAATGACAGAAAACACTGGAAAAAACTGGAGAACTCATCCACGAGAACCATCACCAAAGAATCAATGAGCTTGCAGACACTGCTGGGATCAGTTACAGAGTTTGCCATGACATCTTAACAGAAAATATGAACATGCACTGCATTGTTCCTTCATCACGACAACACGCCCGCCCACACATCCCTGAAAGCGAGAGTTTGTGACTAACAGTAACATGGTTATCATTCATCCTCCCTACTTGCTGGACTTAGCCCCCTGTAATTTTGCTTTGTTTCCCAAAATTGTAAATGAAACTGAAGGGATTACATTTTGAAACAGTGTCTGATATCCAAGGGGAATCACAAGAGATACTGACAGCATTAAGGAAAATGACTTCCATGGTGCTTCTGAAGCACTGAAAAACGATGGTATTTCTGTATATGTTCCCAAGGATACTATTTTGAAGGAGATGGCAGCCAAAATTGAGTAAGTTAAGCCAGCATTTCTTTTTTGACCCAGTCCAGGAACTTTCTGATACACCTCACACTAGAGAAAGTTATGTACAGTAGTTCAAACCATTACTTGCAGACTAATAACTTACTACTTCCAGAATAGTTTGGCTTCAGGAAAAGAATGTCCACTGAAAGCGTACCCTTTAAACTAACATACAGGGTATTAAATTAACCAAAAAATCCATGTTGGAGGATTATTTTGTAATTTATGAAAAGTGTTTGACCTTGTAAATCATGAAATCTTGCTAACCAAATTAAGTTTCTTTTGGAATTCAAGGAACTGTGGCAGGCTGGTTCAGGTCATATCTAACAGAAAACAAAATCTAATGCAGCCCAAATTCCTCTCAGACTTGGAAACAAGAAAACATGGAGTTCCAGGACCTTTACTTTTCATGACCTATGTAAATAATCTTTGTCTGTAATTAACCCCATGTACATTCAATAGCTTAATTATTCCACTTATTCAAAGTGCTGTGAGAATCTGCAAGCAGTTCAGCCTTCTGATCCTTTACCAAATTAGTTCTAGGTTGGTAAAACTTCTTAAATTCATTCATACCTCTCATATAAGTCCAGTGTTCTTTTTCTTGCTGTATGTTGCAAGCTCATTAATTGTGACTCAGATATTCCCTCTCTTTGTCTCTGAAATATCTACACTCTTCATGTGTAACTTACTTCAGATTGTCTTCATTTATTTGATTTGGATAATATAAATATTGCAGTTTGGCTTGTTTCGTTCAACGTATTAGTTCTGAACATCCTTCAACATGGCTTATTCTGCTTCAGTTTGTAACAACTTAGACTCTGTTTGGCAGAAATGTTGATATTCCAATACCCGTACTTTCCTATCCACATCATCCAAGTTCTCCAAAGCTGTTTGAGATTTTAACCTGAATCTATTCTTCTCTTTCTACCTCATTCAGTTTCTTGAGACTGAATCTCTCCATATCAAATTTCTGCATTGCCCATTTACCTACTGAGTTTCTGCCTATTATCACATGGCTCAGTGACCTAATTTAAATCAATCTAATGATAGAAATGTTTTCATTATTCCTCTGAATTCTTTGAAGAAATATACTTTGAAAACTGTGTATCTACTGCTTAATTAACTAATTTCATAATTGAAAGAAGTATATTTCTGATTTATTATTACTACTACCTGCTACAGATTCTGAAAACTATTAGAATGGACATATAACAGACTCACTTATTCACAAGCTGATTATAGGACTTGAAGATTAAGCGAGGAACAAGCAGCATGCAGAATAAATCATTAGACAGTAGACCAAATAAGTTTCTTAGAATCTGTTGCTTTGGGGTATTTCTGATGGCAATATTGCAGTCTGTCCAGTATAAATAGCTGGTCATTAAAATACATTCAGTTCCTTAAAGCAATATATATTAATAATTACTGTCTGTTGCATGTTACTAGTTACTTTGGTGCAAAACCTGCCTTAAGTGACAAGGAGCACATGCAGTAGACTGTACTGTTTGCAGTTGATGACAGGTTTTAAATTCATAACATTTCTTCACTTCTAATACTTTATTGAACTCAAACACTCAAGTGCATAAAAATGGATCCTTATTGATAAATTAGATGCAAGTTGTTATATGTAATTTAACAACTGAGTAGGATCACTGTACGCCTGACGATGACCCAGTATAAGGGTCAAAACATGCAACATCAATAAAAACAAAAGTTGATACAATAGTGTCCTTGTTGAAAAACAGAATATTGTAGTGTTGACTGGATACTTTTGTATACATTTGATGTAACTTATTTATGACACACAACAGGGTGCATACCATTAAGGTAACCTTACTATTCACACCATTATGACCAGTAACTTATGTGCAACTTCAATGTGCCCAGAATCTTTGAACTATAGAACGTTTCTACATACATCACTTCTATCGGGAATATTAAGTTTTCTCCCATAAGAAATGTTTCATCCCACCAAAATGCTCATAACATTAAAATTTCCTGTGTATGAAGTTCTCGTACATAATNGTACTTTACTGAACTGTGTTCTCATAGACATCACATTTAGTTTAAGATTTTAGTGCTGGAGTGTTTCTTAGCTTTAAATATTTAATTTAGCTTTATATGGTGCAGTTTTGTTTTTTATTTATTTATCTCTAATTTAGCCAGTACAGTGCTCTTTAGCCCTTTGTACGTTTACTCTGTATCTGGTTATAAGAATGGCAGAAAAACAAAAGCACATGGTTTTGACAAAAAAAAATTAAGTNACCTTTGAGATCCCCCCCCCCTCCATATATATTTGTTTTAAGAGTGATGTGTAATATAAGTGTAATCAAGTTCCAGGATTTTGTGAAAACAGCTGGCAGAATGAAAGTTTAAAGAATTATTTCAAAGTAATAAGTGATCTTCAAGAATGAATTCAGTGCAGATAATGGGTATTTCTAGTCTTCTGATTCTCCATTATTTTCATTTCTCTCCTCCATTTCCCTGGAAAATCAACAGTTCACTGTTTCAATAACAAAGTAATTTTGCACTATGTCAGTCGTGCAGTAATGCATCTTCCAGTTATGTGATGTAATATCTGTTACAAGACCAATGTCTCTGCTCCTTTCTCCTTGTGAACAGTACCAGAGTATTGTCTTGCTTCTTCAAGACAATGCTTTTTGCATTCTAACAACCTGTAAAAACAAATGAAGTTTGTATAATGCCTGTAGTTGTAAGTATACTGTGACATCTTCATGCATCTACAGTTTAACATGGGCTCCAGGATTCCCTACACTCATAAATTTTTGCGTCAAGATGAAGAAACGGTAAGGTATAAAAGTGGAGTACTTCATTGTTAGATCATAACATCCCTACCCTACATTCCATGTGCAGTCATTAAAAATGTAAACTGCATTATGCAATCTTTAACGTATAAAAAAAATAATACTACACTATAATGAAATTTTACTGTAACACAAATTCATGATACATACTCAGGAAATCATGTTATAGAGTAGTGTTTTCCATGCATTTCTGCGACCTCAAACCAATTAAACTTCACCAAAAACAAAAGGCTGCAGGTATACAATAACATACAAAAAGGCTGCTTTTGTAAACATCTAAATGATAGGGTAAATTAAAGTTGTGAGTCACTCTTCTTAAGAAAAAACGTGGAATGGCAGTCATAATAATGGAAATGAAAACTTTGTTTTCAAGCCCATACTTCAATCTGTTAAAAATTCATTAATATACATAAATAAAAATTCAACCATTTTGTTGTCTACAGTCTTAGTGACCAATATTTACTGAGAGAACTTACTTATGAAGGTGAAAAGGTAAAGTTGTCCCTTTGCTAAACTAATTAAGCATTATGTCATGAAGGCATACAGTGGAATGAATGTCTAGATCCACGTTTTCTTGACCTCAGCTCTAGTTGGGAGGTGAGTTGTCACCTTCATGCCCCAGCTACTGTACCCCCGGAGAAAGCGCCCCAGTACCCATTGGATAGGAGGCTGGGTGGGCCCTAGAACCAGTCTGGACAACAAGGAGAAAATTCTTGACCATACTGGGACTTATATGCTTTACCTAATTCCATGAAGTAGGATCCTTTGAGAAGCCAACAGTTGCTCAGCCACTCAAGAAATTCTCATTTTACGGAAGCTGAAGGTTCATTACGATTTTCACAAGAGTATGCCACTGGTTCCTGTCCCAAGACTGATGAATCCAGTCCACACATCCTCCCAATCCTACTTCCCTATGGTATATTTTAGTATCCTCCCATCTATGTCTAGGTCTGCCTAGCAGTTCTTGCCTTCAAATTTTCAAATCAAAACCTCCCCTATTCCATGTGTGCTACATGCCCTGCCCATTTCATGTTCTTTGGCTTGATCCTTCTGACAATATCTGGTGAGGAGTACAGGGTATGAAGCTCCTTATTATGCAGTTTTCTCCAGCCTCCTATTATTTCCTTTCTCTTGGGCCCAAATGATTTGAGTAGCTTGTTCTCACACATCTTCAGTCTCTGTTCCTCCCCTAATGTGAGAGGCCCAAGTTCCATACCCATATAGAACTACAGGAAAAATTACAGTTTTATATATTCTAATTTTATGTTCTTAGATTGCAGGCAGGAAGACAAAAAGATTCTGAACTGAGTGGCAACAAGCATTCCTCCATTTTAATCTGGTCTTAATTTCCTCATGAATAAAGTTCAGACCTATTATTGCTGTTTCCAAATATTTGAACTCTGCCACATTTTCAAGTTATTTATGAGCTATCTTTATGTTGTAATTTTGTACTCCATTCTGATAACAAGATATCAACATATATTTAGTTTTCTCTATGTTTACTTCTACACCATCCTCCTCATTAAGCTCTATTAGAGCTGTTGTATTTTTATGGTATGTATGTTATCCCAAAATTAGTTAACATCAGCATAGACTAGAAACTGATGTATTTCAATCAATTTGAATCCTACTACATTTTCTTCGACCTTCCTAATGGTGTGTTCTACAGCAAACAGCAACAAAGCATCTCCTTGTTCCAGAACAATTTGAATGGGAAAGACNCCCCAACACTTTGGCCAGAACTCCTTTTCCATAGAACAAACCTGATCAGTTACACGTACTTAGAAATCTAGACTGATTTAAGCAGCCTGAACAATTCCTCTGACATTTCTCTTGTAAAGAAAACTACCAACCAATACTCACTTCTTAAGGTCAGTCCACAGTTTCATTTGCTGTGAACGATTAGCCTGATTGTCTTTAACTATATGCTGTTCTTCTTTCAGCTGGCGGCTTAATTTCTCCTGTTCATTTATTTTTTTAGTTAACTGGTCCCTGTATATGAGGAACATAAAACGTCATTACAAAAAATATAGTATAAATGAAATAATTACCAATTCAAAACAATGTGTTCAGTATAGTCTTCTGGGTTCTAACACATACTACTAAAAGGTGAAAATGTAACGTTTTCCCTGTGCTTGACTAATTAAGCACTACACCATGAAGGCATACGGGGGAATGGATGTACAGATCCACATTTTCTTGACCTCAGTACTAGCTGGGGATGAGTGGTCAGCTTCATGCCCTGGCCACTTTACCCCTGGGGAAAGAGCCACCAGTACCCATAGGATAGGAGGTTGGGTGGACTCCAAAGCTAGTCTGGACGATTTGGAGTAAAGAAAATTCTTGACCCTACCAGGACTCGAACTCCAACCCCTTGGTTGTCAAGTCTGTAGTTGGTCACTATACCGACTATGCTATCCCGGCTCCTCGCACCTACTACTTTACTACTTACTAACTTACATTAACTACCTGGTGAGTCAATGAAAAACATATTGTGACATGATTACATTGTCCACTGTGTGGTAATGGCTGGGTAAACACAGTTCTGCAGCAATGGATACACAAGCAACAATGGAAGAATTGTTGCAAACGGTGTTTTCTATGCAGTCCATGTCAAAGGCAGTCAGTTGGATGGATGGAGTAGTGAGTAAGTCTGAAGTCTCCCAGAGCCATCAGACAGCAAAACATGTTCATGAGTCCCATGGAACTTGGAACCAAGAATCACTGTGCTGGCAAGCACCAGCAGAAACTTAGCTGTCAGTCAGTCATTTGGACAGTTGGAACAATGGGTTAGGTATGAGACAGTTGTCAGCTGGTAAGGATATATGAAGCAGAGGACACTGTTGGATTCCATTACCAGGCAACAACGGTGAAGATATAGCAGACTGAAAAGACACAGTGTGTGCTGTAGTGAGAAGCAGACTGTGGGAATTAGTGCCAGTGTTATAATTACTTGTAGTTACAATTTATAAGTTTTCAGTAAATCCAGTTATCAATGCAAACCCTGTGTCCAGTCACTAACACATATTATGACACATCATCATAAATCAATAGGGGTGAGAGAGGTTGAGGCTCCCACAGCTTCTAGACAATCAGCACAGATGGCAGTAAGGTTGTCAGTCTTATGAGCCCGCTGCCCTTTGCGGTAGTGTAGTTGGTTTAGGCACTATGCTGCAAGCCAGAAAGTCGAGGGTTGAAGTCCCAATGAGGTCATTGATTTTTTTTTCAATTTACCTAACCCTTCCAGCTGCAATATGGCCCTGGGGTTGACTCCGCCTCTAACAGAAATGAGTAACAGGAAGATCATAAGATTATACCTGACTTATTCAACATGTGAAGTAATTCTTACCGCAGAGACTTAGTTTTTTCAGATCCTGCTGTGCTGCCAACATAAAATCGCATTTCTTCTGCTAGCTGATCCAACTTCACCTGACTGATCACCGATTCAGCCTGAAGCAAGTGATACTTTGATTCCGAAGTTCGTATTTCCTCCTTCAGGTTTTGTACTTCCTACAACAGCATTAAAGTCTGGTGGAGTTACAACTTTCAGTGAAGTCACATACGCAGATTGCCTACATTGTTACTGTATCACTATGCTTTAAAATTCAGTTGATCTCTTTTAGAAGTTTTCCAAGGGACCAAGATATACAAACTTCCTAAGTGGAATAATGTCTTGAAAGGGTAGACTTCAAAATGTTAGCCCCTGTAGAAAACTAACATAATAAACATTAATTTTTACACAAAATAAATGGGTAGAATGTACTAAATACACAGGCTTTCAAATATACACTATATGTTTGTGTTGTTATGGTTAAAGTTAAATAGTATCTTCTAAAATGTTCTTTCTTGAAGAACATATCTAGTGGCATTTGTTTTACTTGTCTTTCAAAAACTTTGAAGTAGACTTTTCCAGTTTCTTATGATTTGCTCTGGAACATCAGAAACACTGGTATGAAAGTGGTGGTACAAACCGAAACACTGTATTGCTTCACTACACTTAGGAACTGGTTTACACACTGCTGCCTCCCCTTCCTCAGCACCAGTTTCTGTATGCTTCAATACAATTTTCTGAATGGCATGAGGATTGTCATTGTCATTATCCTCTACATATTCTTCACGTGCGTCTTCTCCTGAACATCTTCCCAGACACATGAACTTACTTTTGAGTGATCCTCATCTTCATTGTGAATTTCTGATGTTTGACAGAATGTGGATTTGTAATAATAATTTGTAATCATTTCCCAACTGACAGCATTCCATGATCCTGCATGCTTCACTGTGGCATTCTTTGGTGGAACTTATATACAAGGCACCTACAACATTTATGTATCAGAGATCTGATTATCCCCTGGTCCATTCATTGTATGATGGATGCTGTGTTGGCTACTTCCTCTTCAATTACACTTTTGGATTCCCTACTTATGGTTGTGGGGATAAGCCCTGCAAGTTATTTTAATCGATCATGCCACCCATTCCAAAATGGGAGTTCAGTGCTTAGTTTTAAAGCTACTTTTCCAGCCTTCTGTTTTGACACCGGACCTTGAATTGGTATATTTAATGCCCATTTCTGCCTAAACCACTGTAGCAGCACTGATTCAATCTTCTCACGTTTAAAAGTTATTTTTTCTGCTTGGCTCAGCAGTTACATATTGCTGAACTATGGTTTTCTTGTTTGTCATTTTACTTCACATCGACATTGGTATGCTAAGTTGTTCTGCAACCTTTTTGTAGGTTACATGTGGTTAAGCATCCCACCTTCTTAATGATTTCCAGTTTTTCAGAGACTGATAACATCTCATGTTTTATATTTGTTCTTGTAGCAGTGCATACCTCTATATGTAATATACAACTCCTCTGCTTTCATGGAACTTAACAAAATTAAACAAACATCTTCTGTATGTATCCTTGCACAGAGAGACCATGGTACTAGCTACACAGATGGATATAAGAAAATCACCACTAATTCTGCCAGACTTCTACCATTCACTGTGCATTACTGAGTGCTGCTAAGCACTGTGATATGACTGCTTCATGTCAGCATCTAGTTCATTTCTCATTCAGTTCTGTATACATGTCATAATCTGACACAAATTCATTACATGAGTAAAATGTTAATACTGTCTTTAAAGTTTATCTTCTTAGGCAGTATACCTTTTTATGCAGACAATGTTTAAAACAAAATATAAATATGTAAGATTTGAGGCTTTAACGGTGGTGACTATGAAGAAAGCAGTCTTCTGGGATTTGGCACCGTGTATATGTGGTGTTAACCGACGTTTCGGAGGAACGTATCGCCTCCATCTTCAGGGTAGAAGGAAAAATATAAGAAATCCACAAGCGAAGAGACCGTGAGAACCGGTAAAAGCAATATACATATAAAAATATATAAATACATTAATCTTATATATTACTTTTTAGGCTTGGAACAATTTTAAACTTGTTCTTCTTAAGCGGGGTCCACTATATATACTTTTCCTTACTCAAATATTTCTAATTTTTCCAGTTCTAATATTTTCATCAATATATGGAGAATCCATGGGGCTGCTGTTATTGAGAAGCTGACAGTCATATATTTTGTCAATAAATTCCCCCTTTTTTATAGAATGAAAAGGTTCACAAGAGACCATCCTGAGCAATTTGAATCTGATCTAGACCCTCACATTGTAATCAGTTAGTCAAAAAATTCCCTTCCTTTCAGAGAAGGTAAAGGTTCACAGGATACCCTCATTTGACCCACTGCAAAGTCAGCTGAATCTGAGGACATGTGTTGTGCATGGATCAACAAGATTCCTTTGAGGATATCGAGAGTAAAAATGATAAATAAACGACCAGTGTGGAGGTCACATAAGGCAAGATACAAATCTGAGGAACAGAAACAGAACAGAAGCACTCACAGGAGGATAGTGATCAATTGAGAACCTTCCCTGGTAAAAACTGCAGTGGATGATAATGAAATCTGAGAAATTAAATATCAACATTGTTACAGTGCATATTATTATTAAGAATACAGACCTGCTCAAGTTTTGCTGCAGTACTGTCAAGACCAGCTGCAGTAGTGTCATAGACGCGCTTCTTCTGTTCATACTCAGCAGTTAGTTCCTGGCATTTCTCTCTCAATGGTCTCAATTCTAAGGCAAATCACAGTTATCTTTCTTCAGCAACAGCAATCATGATGATACCAGAAATAACAACAATTCATTTGTAAGATTTGAGGCTTTCATGGCGGTGACTATGAAGAAAGCAGTCTTCTGGGATTTGGCACCATGTAAAAAGGTGTAAAGGTGTAAAAGCAGTCTGCTTTTACCGGTTCTCACGGTCTCTTCGCTTGCGGATTTCTTATATTTTTCCTTCTACCCTGAAGATGGAGGCGATACGTTCCTCCGAAACGTCGGTTAACACCACATACACACGGTGCCAAATCCCAGAAGACTGCTTTCTTCAACAATTAATTTATTAATCCTTTTGATGTGCTTTGTTTTCTCATCATTTAACACACTGGGAGCAGGATACTAGCTGCTTATATAATTTGTACTTAAAGTTAATCCAGTTAATTTTAAAAGTAAATGAAATAATTTCAGTTTCACCAGTATTTATCTTCATACCATTATCCAAACACCAAGTCTGAACCATGTCTATGTCATACTTACAAAAGCTCACAACCCTCAACATTCGTGAGACTATGATATATCATCCACAGACAAGTGGTAGGTGGCACAGTGAACGGATGCACAAATATCGTTAAAAAAATAATACACTGCAAAGGTCCTAAAGTGGGTCCTTGTGGATTACCAGATCACCAGACTTCACAGTACAAGAAGGAAATGCCACTATAGTTGCATAATATTTTGGCACAGCTGCCTTTAAATATTGCTATTAACCTTTACTGACTGTAGATTGCACTTCTGCCATTGCACATACCCAGTTCACCTGGGTGAACATTGCAGTACTGCAAAATATGCCCGCCCTTTTCTTCTCTCATCGTTCCTCTTGTTGTGCGATGCGATGCAACTTCCAGCCTCGCCTTACCTGTTGCAGCGTCGCTCGTCTTCTCCTTGTTGTAGCACTCTTTAATTTCTCAGGGTTTTTTTTTAATGCTAGCCAGTAGGTAGGGCAAGGAGTTCTATCCTCAGGATCGCATACAGGACCTTAACTCAGAAGAGCACAGGGAAGCGATCAAATGCACACGTACAACATGATTCTGGTTTATTGTGGCAACATTTCTTTGATAACCGTTCACACTTATCACTACAACACGTACATTAATATGACAGTTAAATGACTCTTGCTTATTGCAAACTCGCCTGTTAATTGATTTATTTCTTTATTTACTTATACTTGGCTGAATCCTTTGTTTTTAGATTTAGATGATGTAATTTCCGGGCCGTGCACAAGGTAAAATGGTAACAGAGCCCTTTGTTTGAATTTGGAAGAACGTAAGTTTACGTCCGTGCACACCAACGAATCGTAACCGACTGACTTTCAAAACCGACGCTCTGGATAGGGTCCCTTTAGTTCCCACTCTCCTGGATTCAAGAAACATCTTATCTTGCCTTCATTGGTCAATTTAAACTAAGGGAGTTTACATAACTCCCTAGATTTCCAATGGGCTGTCAGCTTTCTCCACACTTAGCCAAATTTGCTCCAACGTCTTTGCTGTCAAAAATGATGTATTCTGGGCTACGCGTCAGAAAGCGAATACCCCCCCCTTTCTTAAACTTACGACCCTTCACGCTTGTCATCTCACAATTCTCGACATGGTCGCTTTCTGCCATTCCAGCTATCCTAAGGAGTCTCAGCAGGGAGTCTTCCTGCCTGGCTCTTGCATGTGTGTTAAAACTAATTGTTTAACCACCTAAATACATAAACAGGTCTATGTCCATCTACTATTCCTTAATGTAACCTACTATTTTATAATACTCATAACTAAATAAAAAAAAAAAAAAAATAAATGGAGGGCGGCATTGGACGATTATAATCTCCCAAGCAAATCTTGTTCTGACATGGAATACAGGAATCAAGATTTGTCTTGAGTGCCACTATCCTTAGGTGAATTACATAATACCCCGAAAAAGAAAAAAAATTAAACATGGAAATAAACATTCAAAGAAATGAGAAAAAAAACCTCATACATTCTCATAGTCTGTTCCCATCAAATAATGTCTCTTATCTTCACCCCCGTCCTTTCTTATTTCAACTTATTACCCCTTTGTTGGTAAATGAATGTCTTATCATTAACATGTACATCATTAAGACTACACTTCCTTAATTCACTTCAAGTTCAACAGTCCTTTCACTCTTCACTGAAATTTTAATGGTTCACCTTCCTTATGTAAACACTTGTGGGTTCACTGCACTTTTACACGGTGCCTCCTTTAAAATCCTTTCGTCCCTTTAAATCTTTCACTTTCCAGAACAGCTGATTTCCACATGTTCGTAGATCAGCAGCAGCAACTGACCCTTTTAATTCTCTCTCTCTCTCTTTCTTTCTTTCTCTCTCAAAGCTGTTTACCCTTCTAGCGGAGTTAGTCGATACCTGCCTTCTGAAATTTACCTAATCAGTTCTGTTCCTTTACAATGTTTTCATTCATTCATTCCATACATTCATCACTGTACCAAAAAGTGTTCAGTATGTTTTATTGGTAAATGTAACTTGCATTTCGTGAATTAATTTCAAAGGTGGGCGGTTAACCTTTCCTCATCCAGACTACTTATTTTTTTTTTAAGAAAACATTCTCTGATTACCCCCAATTTAGAATATTCAATTCGATTCTAACGATCGGACATCACTTGAGTGTGCTGGTTATTTCCCTTGGCCCCCCTCAGGCTTACCTGTCAAATATGGCTTGAGGTGACTCCTATTAAAAATTCCCCTGCTTTTGCCTGTAGCGTCGCTGAGTTCATAAATAGCTGAGCTCACTATCTTCGTAATTATATAAGGTCCTTCGTACGGCAGTTGGAATTTACCTGTGATACCCTGAACTGCATCTGACAGGGGCTGACATTTCACGAGTACTTGCTCCTGCAACTTAGGCTTCCAACGCAATTTACCCTTCTTCGCTTTGCTATGCCTCCTTTCAGCTCGTAATCTCATTTTTGCATAGGCCTTAATAAGTTTTTCTCCCAAAGGTTCATCCTGGGATAAATTCTTACTGGATTTTAAGGAGTCAAGGAAAATATTGGGACGTGTGTTTCCATATAGTAACTCAATAGGAGCATACCCTGTAGCTTGGCTGACATAAGTATTCAACCAAGTTTCTATGTACGGCACAAGTTCTGGCCACTTTCTATGGGTCTGATGGCAGTAAATCTTAAAGTACTTTCCTAGTTCACGCATAACCCGTTCCGTGGGGTTACTCTCGGGATGGCGAATTGGTGAATATTTACACTGTATACCCAAGTCCGCCAGTGCTTTCTGCCATGTAGGGCTTGTAAACTGCGAACCATGATCTGATAGAATTACTTCAGGTTTCGTCACATTTTGAAGGTAGTGATTCTTTAATTTATTCAAACAGCTTCTAGTTGTGGCTGTTTTCAAAGGGTATAACTTCACATGTTTGGAAAAGAATTCCAAGCACACAAAGAGATACTTAACACCCCCGCGTCCAGTGGGTAACGGGCCATAAAGATCAATAGATAACAACTCTCCAGGCTTCGAGGGTAAATGAGATAATGTTTCAACCTCATAGGCCCTGTTTGGGTGTTTCACACGTTGACAGATGTCACAGTGTGCTACATACTTCCGCACCTTCCTACCCAAAGATTTTAGGTGGAATGATTGTGCTATCTGTATCATACACTTATCAGTACCTTGATGTCCTGATAACATATGAACATACTCAATCACTCGGTGCTCCAACTGGTTTGGCAACATTGCTCTCCAGTATGGGTACATCTTGGCGTTTTTGCAGTACAAGATATCATTTTCTATCATATATTTCTCCTGCAGTTTTATTGGGTTTCTTGCCAATTCATCCCTGATTTTAATGAGTACGGGGTCACCCTTTTGGTGTTCCGACAATTTACCTAATTCCTTCATTAGTTTGCTGTCGGTCCCCAGATTTACCTTTCTTACCCATACCTCATTAGGTCTCAGGAGTTGGTCGCGGCTTTCCTGATTTAACCCACTGGGGTTCCGACTCAGGACATCTGCAAAGTGGTTGTTAGCACTGCGAATGTGCAAAATCTTTAGGTCAAACTCCTGCAGTTTCATTACCCAACGTGTCACACGGGCTGAAGTCAAATTACACTTCTTCAGAAAAGATAAGGCTTCATTGTCCGAATATACTGTGATCTGGTGACCAATCACGTATATACGGAACTTCTGAAGTGCATAGACTACGGCCAAGAGCTCCTGTTCGCAGGTAGAGTACCGTCGTTCCACAGGTGATAGCACCCTAGAAGCAGTGGAAACGATCAAAGTCTCACCTGTTTCGCTCACCTGGGTCAGTACTGAGCTGATCCCTAGCTTACTTGCATCTGTATAGATGGCGTATGGAAGCTCTTCCCGTGGATGGACTAGGTGGACACTACGTGCGAACGACTCACGTAGTTTCAAGAACGCATCCTGGGATTCCTTCGTCCATGTCCACTTAACACCTTGCCTCAATAGAGCTGTTAAAGGTGCTACGAAATTTGCATAGCCGATGATAAAGCGGCTGTGAAAATTACATGTCCCAAGGAACTGACGCAATTGCTTCACATTCCTTGGTGCTGGGTATTGTAAGATCGCTGCTATCCGGTCCGGATCTGCAGACACACCTGTTCTATTTATTCGGTGTCCTAAAAACTTGACCTCCTCTCTGCAGAAGCGACACTTGGTGGCATTAATGGTGAAGCCTGCCTTTGTTAATTTGCTCAGAACTGCATCTAAGTGCTCCATGTGCTCGTTAAAACTCCTCGAGTATACCAGGATATCATCAACATAAAACACGACGTATTCTAGGCTACTCTCACCCAATGCTAATTTTATCGCCCGGACAAAAGCTGATAAAGAATTTTTAAATCCGTACGGGACCCTTTTGAATTGGTACACCGTCGAATCATACAAGAATGCTGTGTATGGCCTGGAATCTTTATGCAATTCCACTTGATGAAAAGCGGATGATAAATCGAGAGACGTAAGGTAACGTGTCCCGTGAAATTTCTGTAAAAGCTCCTGGATGGGCGTAGTTCGCTCCCTGTCAGGAATCATAAACTGATTCACCTTTCTAGCGTCAACACATAACCTAATTTTACCATTGTCCTTTTTCACCACCATAAGCGGGTTTAGCGTCGGAGAGTTACTAATTTCCAAAATTCCGTCTGCTAGCATTTGGTTTATTTGCTGTCGAACAGCTGGGCGGTGAGCGAACGGAATCGGCCGAGAATACCCTACTATCGGCTGGTCTGTACTGATCCTAAACTTATATTCCAGTAGAGAGCATCTCCCTGGCTTAGTCGTCAGGTTGCTCAAGTACTTAATTAATACACTAAACAGCTCCTCTCGCTGAGTATCTGAGAGACATTGCACTCTTTCAACTAGGGCCATTACATCATGTTCCTTCAACAATCGTGGGTCAGTGGGTTCTGTGTTGGGATTGGAAACAGGTTCACACGCCGGCAGGTGTTTCTTTAAACAATTCAAACTTATCTCTGTGACTTTGGCAGCACTCCGATCGGCAGAGCCACAACTCCGGATCATTAATTCATCAGATGTCACAGCATCTGGAACAATATAAAAATGGTCGCCTTTTGCGCCAAGTTCAAGGGAATTACTACCCTTCGAAACACTCATTGTCCACTTAGGGGACTGAAATAAAAGGGAGCTGCCGTCACTCAAACCCTCACAATTCTCTGTACCTGCGGCGTTGGGTTGGGGAGGTTTAAGGATGAGACAGCTGTCAACTGCCCTGGGTTTATGTAGGTCATTGCAGCCAGCTGATAGGACTTGGGTTCGCTGAACTGCAGACATGGGGTTTGACAGGACCACTTCACCACTAACATTCTTAGAAACTTTCTGCAACGTGCCTATCGTTGCAAACGCGTGCTCTCTCCCGACGTCACCCCTGACGTACTTGATAGATTCATGCTTGAAATCTATAATAATACCAAATTCCTTTAAAAACTGACAACCCAATATGGCGTCATTACTGAGCTGAGGTGAAACCATAAACACCCCTTCAAATTCATCGTCTCCCACTTTAAATTTCAAAAGTGCCTGTAGGCGTATTCGGTTCGATTTCTTTCCGAACGCAGTCACCAGAACGACGCCCTGAACAGGTAAAACTGGTATGATGTTACCTGCTTGCGTCAGCCTCTCATATACCTCTTGTGAGATCAGATTTACTTCACTTCCCGAATCAACTATCGCGCTGATAACAATCTTATTATTTATCTTAATTTCTAATACTGGACTTATGCCAAGGGAAGTCTCGTTTATAAATAATACTACAAAATCTTCAGCATCCTGATGTTTAGTTTCATACGCATTCTCCTCATCGCTACTACTTGATATTTCCTCTACTTTGAAAAATTTTGATGGTGTTGATGCATTGGGTAGACCTAGAACCGCGTCGGTTTTATAAAAGGGAGCCATCCGGTCTGCTATAGTCCCTTCATTTAGTTTTCCGGATGGACCACAGTCTGTTGCGTGCCTGAGAAAGATGGTGCTTTTGGATTAAGGGTGGGAGGTGCCTCCTCCTGGTTCCCACTCCCTCTCCTGTGTCCATAATTCTGATTTCGATATCTGTTGTTATGGTGCCCATAGTAAACCTGCCTCACCTGGCCTTGGTTTTGGTGCCTTCTATCCTGTGGGTTATTGCGATTCTGTCTATCGTTGTTTTGATTCTGGTGTGGGGGTTGGTAATGGGGTTTCTGATACTTCTCGTTAGCCTCCATCGCCTCTACTCGCTTCAACAAGTCCAACGTCTCTTCAATGGATCTAATTTGAGTTGAAAGCATGGCCCTTTGGATCCCTATAGGATAATGATATCGCAAGGCTTCAGTAATTTCTATTTCAGTGGGTTTCGGATCTAAATATGATGCGATCGTGGCCTGCTTCAGGAAATACCCAGACAAACTCAAACCTGAGTTCCGATCGTATTGACCCTGATAAAGCCGACACTTAACAAGGCTTTGTCTCGCTGTCGACCACCATGTCTTCAAGAACACTTGTTTAAACTGGGTGTAGTCTTGTAGGTTCCAGCTAACCGTTTCCAACCACTGGCTACTCATAGGACCTACAACGGAGCGGAAAGCGACTGCCAGCTGCATAGCCTTAGGTACGCCCCTGAATTGGAGAAATTGATCCAGCTGCCGCAGATGGTATACTGGATTGGTGTCTTTGTCCTCATTGAATAATGGGAGCGGTAGCTCAGATGAGCTCAAGAAACTGGACACTTGGTGGGCCTCAGCACTCGCTACTACTCTACATCGATTCACATTACTTCCCATGCATACGTCACAATTTTCAGATTCACACGAACAGGTTCTGCTCTCGTTAGATTGAACAGGGCCATTTATACCAATACTTTGCTGTCCAGTAGAAGGAGAAGCATTGTTTGGACTGTTACTATTATTACGCGGTTCAATTACTACCGCTGATGTTGGCAAATCTAACACTCTGTTCTCTGATGCTATCAGTTTTGCATTAACCTGCGAAAGCTCGCGGTTAAATTCAGTTCTCTCCTGCGTTGAAGCCTGATCTACACTCTTCTTCTGCTGGGTCAGCCTTTGATTAATCTCATCCCCTAACTTTTGTATCGACTGGTCGACTTCAGTTCTGTGTTTCTCCAAGTGATTGGTTAATTCCTGCACTAAATTCTGTGTAACTTTCCTG